CCGTACGTGGAAAATAATAATCGGATCGAAGTAAAAATTACATTTATGTTAATAGCTTACCTAGTGCTACGTTGTGAATTTTTTTGAGAATTTTCGATTTTTCACTTTTGTAGACCTCTGGTCGATATTTACTGACATCCGCTTTTAAGTATTTGTATAAAATAACTGTTAAAAGCATGGTATTGCTGATCGATCAGTGATCATTTGTCTTACAAATGTCCCTCCCGGGCTCTTGGGTCCCAAAACGAAAACAGTTTTGTATCCAAGGAGGACCCAAAGTGCTTCAATTTATTCATTTGCCTTCAATTAAAATTGTAATTCCCTTAGCTAGTGGGGTGACGAATGACATATCTTGAACTAGAAGCAAACGCTCTAGCCTGTTGATAGTCCCTTATTTTCCCATAAGATCGTGGCTTTGGAGCCGCCTATACCAGTAGCCTGCGTGGCAGGCGCAAAACGGGGAAGGGGGAGAGGAAGAAAAACTCGTCCCTCCCTTTTTCCCTTCCGCCCTATCACCTACAACTTTCAATGCCTGCTACGCAGGTTACCTACTAATGGTGGCCATATTGGTTTCAAGTGTACCGAGGTGTCGTCTAACTTTTAAAAAAATTCACCAAGTCCTTAGTTTTGCATCACGGTCCCATGTGGGCCACCGTAGGTACCAGTTGAAAAAAAAAAGAAAAAAAGATGGAGGTTTATTGAACTCTGTTACCCACATGGTAAAATAGCGGACTGTCAGTTCTCAAACACCTCAACCTAAAGCTCATAAGCAGTAGTCCATTTTCCTTGCTTCTCGTAAATTTCAGTGGTCTCCTAAAAGCCTGCCGTTAAATCAAAAAAAGGGCCTTTGCCATATTCCAATTCCTTATTGCAGCCACCCCTCTTGTTTGGAATTTTTTACGCTCATTGCTTTAAGGCGGTGCACATTGGCTGAAGGAGATAATTAATAACAGCTAAGTTTTGTTCAGCAAATCGCCTTATGCAAGCATGGTTATACGGGTAGTTCAATTCATTTATTTCACGGGCTTGGGAAATTGCAAACCAAACTGTTTTTAGTTAGGTCGCTTAGTGTATTTATCGTTACAGGGCGGATGCAAGCACCAATTTTTGCATGAAGTCTCTTTTTGACGTATAAAATAAATTTAGTCGTGGATCCATCCGAAATTTTTTTCTCTGCCTCGTCAAAGAAAGTGTGGAAAATTAACGTCGTTTGCATAATTTCAAAATGGTGGCGCCAAGGCTGCAAAGTCGAGCAACTCCAATTTCGTTGCGCTTGAAATACAGCTATGACCCGCGTTTGTTAATAATAATAATAATAATAATAATAATAATAATAATAATAATATTAATTAATAATTATAATATCGTTTTATTGATCCAAATCTGGCTCAGTTATTTATGCTGGTTTACAAGCTCTTGAAACTACATGAGCTTCCTAAGTCTACCAAATAATCTGTTTTAATCGCACCTTCCAGTAAAGTCGATTATTTCGAAGGCCGATTGTAAGGCAGACCCATCAATTTTGAAAACTACTAACTTAGTCAACGAAAGAAGGGGAAGTCCCCCGTGCTCTCTCCTCCCTCTGACAGTTACTGCTTGTACTTGAAACATCTAAAGGTTCAACTATATTTGCAACTAGAAGAGTCTCCTTTTCCGCGAGCATTTGATAGGCTCTTAACACGCTTTCTAAAGTTCTAGAACATTTAGCCCAAGAGGGATCCATACATTCTTTAATTGTTCCCTCCAACCTTATTTGTCTGGCGAAGGGATCATCGGCTGTACTTCGGTACTTGTAACCCAGATAGGAGCTTCGTAGACCGCCCTTTTAGTGTGTTGTAGCAGAGATTCTGTGTCAGTGGCATTCTTTCCCTCGTGACGTTCTTTAAGCAGAAAATTTCCCTCCGTGTCTCAGGGTCGATTGAACGTTTTATCTTATACAAGGACGATCAGCTGCTCAACCTTACGTAAATGCTCACAGTAGTTGTTAATTGGTATCAAGGGGCTAGACAGATAGAGCCTGATAGACAAAAGTATTTGTTATCTCTTCAAACGTAATCCAAGCTTGCCGGAACGACTTCTTCCCCTTTCCTCCAAAAGCAGAAGTGGCGTCACAGCTAGACATGGCAAGAAGCTTTGGAAGTGCTTTCGACTTTCTGGCCTCAAGGCTGGTGCATATAGCATTGATGATGTAAAGTCTGCAGTTTTTACCTTTTCCAAAGATAACCCAGCAGGGACATTGTTGCCTCTTGTCTGTGTCTTCAAGAGTGTGTAGTCTTGACTGTCCTGTGATTAAGAAAGTTTGGGGATTACCTAGATCGCTATCAGAATAACGTATTCTCTGTTAAACTGTCTTGAAGCAGTCTTGACAGTTCTTTTCCTGAAAGCCTCTTACGTAGTAGTCTTGCTTATTAACCTGATCAAACGGAATTCCAGGGAACGCGACAGCCATTTCAAACAACACAGTTGCCCTAAATCACAAACTCGTTTTTAAATGACCGAGGCAACGAGTTCATCTGAAAACTTGCTACCTGCGGGTCAGTGTAATTTTTTACTTAAGTTGAATTCTTGAAATAAAATTTTGTTGTTTAGTTTTTTTTGTTGTTGTTCCGAAAGATCTCCATGCGCAAGCCTCCCAACATGGCTGCATCAGTAATAGCCAAGTTAGTACCGAGAATTATCGAAATGAGGATCTTGAAACTCGTTGGCAGTGATATCTCTTGACATGCTTTTGCAACAAAATAACCGTTGAAGAGAAAGCTTTCATTAGCGCGCCTAGGAATCCCTTTTTATCAATTGTTACGCATCCCTTCTTCGTTAACCAAAACAGCTATACAGTGTTTTTTTTCTGCCATCGGACTCTATAAATTTCTAAAACTTAACCAAATGTCGTTAAACTAAAAAGGCACAAATTTTATTGGAGCACTCCATTCTTTCCCATCAAAAAAGCATCATAATTATATCATAGCTTCTGAAGCAGCGCCCAAGAGTTTTTACATGCTTCTGTGGTGTGGAACATTACTCATTTTTCACGCAAAACTCCGCCTGGATCCACGGATTAAAATGTTTAATAGTCATTAAGGAAACATTCTGGCGATTTTGGTGCTTGTATCCGCGATGTAACGTTAGTGCGAAAATTTGGCGTTAAGCGACCTGACCATTTAGACAAATATCTAAAACAAAGCTTGGTTCTCATTTATTCTCAACAGTTGATTTGGTTGCCGAGCATATTGAAATCATTCGCCAGAAGTACAAGCGTCATGAGGGATGGCTCGCACCCTTTACTTGGTGCGAAGACTTTCAGTTTCAACTAAGCGATATTTATACACGGCTTCGTATGGTCAGCAAAGAGAAAAAAGCGAGAGCAACAGCGGCGCGCAGAGTTGTTGAAACGACTGAAATTTTCAATCCCCACGAAGAATGCAAACAACCTAGAAAAGTATTGATTGAAGGAAAGCCAGGTATGGGAAAGACGACATACTGCAATAAGGTTGCTTACGACTGGGCTATAAACATAAAAAACGAAGGAGATTGCTTTCCGGAATTTGAGATGGTGCTCTTGCTGAAATGCCGTGATGTCGATATCGAGTCCGACCTTTGGGAAGCCATTGACGATCAGCTTTTGCCAGGTGAAGTTCACCGAAAGGAAAGAGAGAAATTCTTCGACTTCATTCGGCAAAATCAATCAAAGGTTCTGCTGATACTTGATGGATTGGACGAGCTACCTTCGAGCAAACTGTCGGAGTTTACCGATATCATACAAGGTAAAATACTTCCTCTATGTCACCTTGTGGTTACAGCACGACACGAGGCTGGGATACCCATGAGAAAGGTTTGTGACACTCTGCTAGAGATTGAAGGTTTCACTGATCAAGATAGCGAAGAATTTATTGTCAAATATTTTGCCGGCAAGGAATATTTGGCTGAAAAGCTCTTGGATAAAATACAGAATGAGGAAAGGCTCACAGAGATGGCGGCAAACCCTTTAAACACTGCACTACTTTGCCTTCTTTGTGAAGACTTTCAAGGTAATATACCTGAAAGCAGAACTCAGTTGTACTCGGAAATAGTACAATGTGTTCTTATCAGATACAGGAAAAAGAGAGGTCTTTCAGTGGGAAATGAAGATCTCATTGAAATCTACAAAGATCAGTTGAAACTCCTTGGCTTGATAGCTTTAAACGGCCTGTATGAAGACAACATGTACTTTGAGGACAAAAAGCTTTCAAGTGAAAATGCCGACTTACCTGAATTTGGCTTTCTGTCAGCTCAACCTGGAAGTAGCAAACGAAGGCCGTGTCTGTGCTACGGCTTTACGCATAAGAGTTTTCAAGAATTCTTCGCGGGATATTATCTTTGTTGCCAACTTGTTAGCAAAGAAACCAGTCCTGAAATATTGGTCACTGACACAAGATATTTCCAAGAGCTAAGAGAGGTATTGAAATTTACCTGTGGTCTGCTTGCAGTGAGGTCTAAAGAAAGCGCAGTAACCCTTATTAACTACATAGCGAATGAGGTAAACAAAGCCGATGTGGAAGAAAAATGTTTCCCTGTTGCACTTGAGTGCATTAAAGAATGCAAAATTGAAAACAGTTATTTTCATATAGACTTGGCCCGTACATTTGGCGCATGTCTGGAAGTTCAACAGGCTCAGGTGCGGGATCCTGGAGTTATAGATGACGCTGCTGCTGCTGCGCTTGCTGCAGTGCTTGAAGCAAACACAACTCTGACAAATTTGGATCTCCAGGGCAATAACATTGGTCCTGCTGGTGCTGAGTCACTTGCTACAGCGCTTAAAACAAACACAACTCTGACAAATTTGAATCTCCGGGGCAATGACGTTGATCCTGCCGGTGCTGAGGCACTTGCTACAGCGCTTAAAACAAACACAACTCTGACAAAGTTGAATCTGCGGGGCAATAACATTGATCCTGCTGGTGCTGAGTCACTTGCTACAGCGCTTAAAACAAACACAACTCTGACAAATTTGGATCTCCGGGTCAATAACATTGGTCCTGCCGGTGCTGAGTCACTTACTACAGCGCTTAAAAGAAACACAACTCTGACAAATTTGAATCTGTCTTTCAATAATATTGGTCCTGCCGGTGCTGAGTCACTTGCTACAGCGCTTAAAACAAACACAACTTTGACAAATTTGTATCTGTCTTTCAATAACATTGGTTCTGCCGGTGCTGACTCACTTGCTACAGCGCTTAAAACAAACACAACTCTGACAAATTTGCAATTGTCTGGCAATAACATTGGTTCTGCCGGTGCTGAGTCACTTGCTACAGCGCTTAAAACAAACACAACTTTGAAGCAATTAATTTTGGGGCAAACAAACACTTCACTGACAAATTTGTATCTGTCTCATGGCAATAACATTGGACCTGCCGGTGCTGAGGCACTTGCTACAGCGCTTAAAACAAACAAAACTCTGACAAATTTGGATCTCCGGGTCAATAACATTGGTCCTGCCGGTGCTGAGTCACTTGCTACAGCGCTTAAAACAAACACAACTCTGACAAATTTGAATCTGTCTTTCAATAATATTGGTCCTGCCAGTGCTGAGACACTTGCTACAGCGCTTAAAACAAACACAACTCTGACAAATTTGTATCTGTCTGGCAATAACATTGGTTCTGCCGGTGCTGACTCACTTGCTACAGCGCTTAAAACGAACACAACTCTGACAAATTTGCAATTGTCTGACAACAACATTTGTTCTGCCGGTGCTGAGTCACTTGCTACAGCGCTTAAAACAAACACAACTCTGAAGCAATTAATTTTGGGGCAAACATACACTTCTCTGGCAAATTTTCATCTGTCTCATGGCAATAACATTGGACCTGCCGGTGCTGAGTCACTTGCTATAGCACTTAAAACAAACACAACTCTGACAAATCTGGATCTGTTTGGCAATAACATTGGTCCTACCGGTGCTGAGTCACTTGCTACAGCGCTTAAAACAAACACAACTCTGAAGCAATTAAGGGGGCATGACAATGACATCACGGAATCTATTTATAAGAAACTAAACGATATGTATAGGTAATCACTTGATTTCGAGTGCAATTTGGAATAAATAAGCACAAGTAAATTTTTCAAAGACCAACAAAACGGGCGAGTGCACTTTGTGGTCTTTTAAAAATTTACAAGTGCTTATTTATTCCAGATTGCACAAGAAAAATCATGTGATTAACTCGGTAAACGTATCCGATTTTTGTCACGTGACTGGTAATTGAGAATTAACGGTCAAAGTATTTACTTTAAAATGGGAAAGGATAATGAAAGAGCAACAAGTTGTTTTAGGTACATTTTAGAGGCTATTAAAAAGGTTCTGAAAAATTCGCCTCGTTTGTGTGTTTAGATTATATAAGAGTCGGTGAATAAAGGGAAAAAGGTTACGTGACTTATTAATAATTAGTTAAAAAGCTAATAGGATAAACAACATTTCGAATTATACAAGGCAGATTTACGATTTACACTGCTTATGTAACATTTCGGTATTGAAAATTCCGAAGATTAAGGTTTACAACCCTTCGCCGTTTAGGAAAACCTGTTTTGTGACGTCATTCACGAAGCAATGTTACGTGTTCTTTGAAATCACGTTTCACGTGTTTTTTTCATTGAGTCACGTTTGTAGCTCACTTTTCAGGATCACTGATGGAAGCAAACCATTCTAAGGGCCTGTTTAGATGGAGGTGGGGGACCCCAGGTAGGTAACCCACGTAGGTGGGGTAACCCGCCCATCCATATAATCACTCATTTCAATTTGTTCACATTTACATGATAGGTGGGGTGACCCGCCACGAGTTACCTCACCTACCTGACCTACCTGGGGTCCCCCACCTCCATGTAAACAGGCCTTAAATAGCATTTAACAAAATATGCATATTCAATTAGGTAGTCATGCTTTAAGTGGCCTGAGGTGTTGAGTTCAAGTTTTTAGAACTTTTGGATTGGCGTAAATAGACTGTGTTATGTGGAGAATCTGCATGGGGATGATTGGATATTATAGTTATCAGTCAGACTTTCAGCGATATTTCAGCCATCTGTTAATTTTTGTACCTCAGAACTCGGCTATATAAAGATTAATAAAGAATAGATTTATCAATTTCTCAGCTGACGGTTAAAATGTTGGCCAATTTTCAGCTCTTGGATGGGATTTAAAAATCCCATCCAGATCCTCTATGTAACTAGTAACTAACTACATTGTATAAAAGACTGAAACAAGCTTTGCTTACAATTGTACTTTTAAAATGTTCATTGTTTTGGTTCAGTGAAGGTTTGAAAACATGCAGTGCGAATTATGTGTTCTGAAACTACTATTGAAACTTGTTACAAGTTCGTGTCATGTGTTCCCCTCGTAACAAGCATATAATATATAGATTTAGCCAGGGCTAAAAGCGAAGCTCACTTTAACAAATTAATAATTTCAATAAACTAAACAATGAACATTAATCAGTTAACTTTAAGGTAGATTCATGAGACTTTTGAGGGAAAGTGATTCCTTAGAGAAGAATAATTTGACAGTCCAAGAGTGAAACAAATTTTACATCGAGTTAATAGTCTTATATGTACACCGAAAAATAGCAATTTTCTTCGATCACAGTAGATTAGGCCAAGAAAACAAATTCTTCCCAAACAAAAGAATTTAAACCCAGTCACCCACCTACACTGCCTATATTTTATAAGGTTAATTCATAGTCTCTCCAACCACTCCGTTGGAGATCGTAGAGACTATGGAGATAATTTGATATCCCCGAAACATAATTTTATGCAACACACGAGAGTCGTCGGTTGCAGGGACCCGGTTGCAGCCAATTAACACGTTACATTCCTCTATCTAAAAGGAAGGCCAAAATAAAATAAAAAATCAGGCCGGTCTTTTTGTGTTCTACAGGTTTACTTTACAAGTAAATCTTGGCGACAAATCTGGTGGTGTGTAAACCAGTATTTTAAATATACCTTTAATCGGTGTTTTTATACATACGATCTGAGGAAAACAGTGCTATGACTGTGTGCCTGTTTTTGATCATACAGACCTCGAACAGAATTTGTTTTTCCTTGCCCTACTTAAACCTATAATTCTGCAGTTTTTCACAATTTTGCAAGACAAATTGCGCTCATTCAATATCCAGGACGATCGAAGCACGCGCTTCCTTTGAGCAAAAAAATATAGAATTGACCACATTATAAAACGTTTTCATTAAGAGAATTTTCCATAATACCGGGACTGTTTAGTCGGAAAAGTCTGCTCTTATGTGATATGTAGGGTAATAATAATGGGTTTTTAGTGAGAACGATAAAAAAATTGCCAAAATCACCTATACAGCCAGCCGGACGGGTTTTCACTTTTGTCAAGCACCAAATTTGCAGTCCGAGCGTCGGAGCCGTTTGAATGAACATTTAAGCTTCAACATGATAGAGAGCTTATTATGTTAAGGTTTTATTTCCCTTTATTTAGGCCGTTAACAAAACCCGGATCGGATTGCTCGGATCGGATCGGATTGTGGATCGGATCGACTCCGGATCGGATCGGATCGGATCGGACTGACAATTCGCCTTAAATTCCCGCCAAAATGGTCACGTGACATCCCCCGGAATGAAGATGGCGGAGAGAA